AGGGACCACCCAACACGTTCAGGACCCACCGGGGTTCGGGACCCAATTGGCAAATGCATTGTTTTCAAGCGTCGGCCTAAGTTCATGAAGGTTTGAGGCCGTTCAGTCTGGAAATTTCGAAAATATGATGCCTGATTCAGAGGGGCCCGTTTTCCTGTGTATGGCCAGAGCAAGAGGATAGATTCCACGCCTCCTCACCTTCCTCACCACCACCCCCCGCTGTTCAGCCTCCATGAAAAAACTACAACCACAGTGAGAGGGGACACCTGAACTTGCAGACATTCCCAGCCACACACGGTCCTGCCCCGGTCCACAGAGCCGGGCAGCAGACCGCCCACGCTGTCTCCCGGGACCCTGCGGTCACACACGGCCCGCAGCAGCTCCTGAGACCTGGAGCCTGTCACCGGCCGGAGTGTGATCTGGTTTTGCTTTCATTGTGTCGTGCTCACGCCTACCCTCGCCTTTCATCCCGCTGCCACCAGCACCTCCGGCCCTGTGATCAAGAAGAGGAACCTGCCTGGCGGGCTTGGCTCAGTGGCTGAGCGTGGACCTATGAACCAGGAGGTCACGGTTTGATTCCCGGTCAGGGCACAGGCCCGGGTTTCGGGCTCAATCCCCAGTGTGGGGCGTGCAGGAAGCAGCCGATTTATGATTCTCTCTCATCATTGAAGTTTCATCTCTCTCTCCCTCTCCCTTCCTCTCTGAAATCAATTAAAAAAAAAATTTTTTTTTTTAAGAAGAGGGGCCTTCTTGTTCCCCATGTTTTCAAAGATCACTAAGGCCCAAAGGCTTTCGAATAGGACCGGCGCCTGGGAAAGGACCAGGTTCCAAGCAGTGGGTCAGCCACCGACCTTGGGGCCAAATCCTCAAACTCAGGGCTTGGGTTCCAGCTCAGCCCCTTACTAGCCAAGTCAGCGCTCACCTCTCTCAGCCCCAGCCTCCCCCTCTGTGGAGTGGGATAAGGCACTGCCTCTCCCGGCTGCCGGGTGGTGCAGAGGTTAGGAGCCCAGCATTTCCACTCCTAAGTAAAGACCCAAGAGACACGGTGACCGCATCCACTGAAAGACACGCACGCAAATGTCCACCGAGGCTCCTGCACAATAGACAGGAACTGGAAACATCCCACATCCCACCAGCCAGAGGAGGGACGATCAGACTGGGATATTGTCCTGCAACAAACGCTGCTCGGTAATGAGCCAGAAAGTACAACCGAGAGCTACTCACGACACGTGGGTGAAGCTTACAGATGCTACGCTGGGAAGGGAGCCAGACGCAAAACTGAGCAAGAATAGACAGAGCTCCTCCAGGGAGGGAAACCAGGGTGCTCACCCTCTGGGGGGCAGTGCCTGGGAGGAGGCACAGGGAACCTTCGGGGGCCCCAGAAACGGTCTAGAGCTGAATGCACATGGTGGCTACGCGGTGTTTACGTACATAAATACGCATGCACACTGCGATTAGCACACGTGACTGCATGTAAACT